CGGCCTCGACGTCATGGAATGAGACTGACGACCTAGAAGACTGTCGGTGACGTGTCGATTTCCGGGACATGCATCTTCCACGGCATCGTCAGACATTCAGAGACCCCGCCTCACATCGACATCGTGCAAGCGCTTCGACGCTATCTCACTTTCTATCGACTAATTTCACCCGTGATTTATCCTAAAACCCTGTTCTTTGACCGTGTCGTATGACCGGTACCCGACTTTGTCCCGGCCCCGACCGCAGTCGTTCTCGTATCTTCTAGGCCTCAGCGAATGTGATGCACGAGAGCGAATCCAACCGAGAATAATCGCATTTTCTTTGCAATCACCTTCCACGCGTTCGAAATGCGGCACAAAATCTCAAACTTCCATTGCTATTCATATGCCTATCAGATCGATGAATCTTCGAGAATTTCATATTTCAATTACCGATATCTTGGAAAGATTAAACCTTCGGTCCGGCTTCACTTCGATCGTTGTTTTCTTTTACTCCGTGTAAACACATGCCCTGTCAAATCGGACTAGACGGGTCTGTCTGCCAATCCCGAGGTAAGAATCCAGCCTTTCTTAGAGAGTTCTCGCATGGGAGTAACTCGAGGTATTTCTGAGGTAAACGAATGCATGCATGCATGCACGGTGAAGAGGGTGCGAGGAGATGTTGACGAGGTTTGGACGGCATCCAGGAGGGATGGATGAAAAATTTTGCTGTCAGCTCGCAGCTGGGCCAAGGTCTCTCGTGAAGAATGCCTTAGGGCCACGTGCAGGCCAAGGAATGTCGTATTAAGGAGTGGCAAAGTGGCATGCCCTTCCTCCTCCTCCTATTCTCTCATCTTTAATGCAGGAGAGGAGGGCCAGGTGTGCCCGCTTTCCCGCGAGACAGCGTGGCGCCACAGACGCTTCTCTTTCATCCTTTTCTTCCCCCCCCCTCCCCACTTCGTTTCTCCTTTCCGTCTTGCGAAATCCTTTCACGTGCCCATCTCGTGATTCCTGCCCTTCCCACGCGAAGATGGTTCTCGTCTCACCCTCGTCGTCGTCCACTTCTCGTCTGTCCCACTGCTCTCGACGCACGAAACGAATCGAGGACGCCCGGTTCGAAACGAACGTTCCCGAATCGTCTCGTGCTCGTCGGAAGGGACTCGATGCTCGAAACGGATGTAGAATCATTGGATAAGTTGGACGAGTGGAAAAAAGGAAGGAAAGAGAGATGGAATGTAGGCTGGACCCCCAGGCGTCGTGAGCCAGGTGGTCCGTCACTAGGAGCGGCTCCACAACCCTCAAGGGCTCTCGAGCTCTCTCTCCCCTTCGGTATTGCACCATCCTCATTTATTTTTTCTTTATTTCTCTTCTCCGACTCGACATCTCATCGACCATGCCGACAAAACATATCGGTTGCATCCGAACGATCGAACGGAGAGGAATCGAGGGGAACATTCTGGAGCTCGTCGTGCCGGATGATATCGCCCGTGGAATGGGTTCGACTACGATACGTGAAATTCCAAAGGCTGCAAATAACTCCACGAGGAATCTACCCGATGGATCCCTGCGGGCGATTCGTCGCATTCGTATGTAGGCTTTTTCTGTGGACGTGTCAAAGAAAGATGGAATCCACGGATGGAAGCTGCCTCGTCGTACCTGATGACGCTTCGAGACGATATCGGCGAGGACGAACGAGAACCAGGAACGCCTTGAGGGAGGTGTCGGGATTTTTTTTTTACATCTTCCGAATTTCTTCCTTACATGGACCGCATGCATGTGTGCAATCTTCTCGTTATCACATCTCCCATCGAGTATCGTTCTCCTACGACAGTCGGATCATGCGGAATGAGACCTTGATGGTGAGAGCATTCCAGGTCTCGCATCCGGAACATTAAAACATATTGCTGACCCAAGGATAGTCTGTTCTTGGACTCGTCAGGGGCATATCTGAGATCGTTCCTTCGGCACGTGATGAGGTCCCCCATGCTCTTCCCTCGCGGATCAGATCCACGTTATTTCTCTTGCTTTCCTCTCCTCCCCTCGGAGGAAGAGAGGAATCCTTTATTCTTTATCTCCTTCGGTCGTGTCAGACAGCCTGACGGCTCTGGGGCCATTTCCTCCCATTTACCCTTGGGCTGTTAATTGCCCTAGGATTTCCCCTTTTCCTCCCCTCCCCTCGCCTGGGGGCAGGCAGGTGACATTTCCTCGATCCCTCTTGTCATGTGTCGCTTCCAGGAAAGGAGAAAAGATTCTCCGCCTCACTAATTCCGTAGGTGAAAAGATATTTCCTCAGAGACGGATGCCAGACGATTTGCCGTCGTTCGTTGTTTCCATCCGCGAGAATCCATCTCGGAAAACATTCGGGCTCGGGGTTCGTAGCCCAGCCCATCGCGTCCGTGGAAACCGAAAGAGGTAGCCGTAGAATGTCGAATGCAGCTGGGGGGGGGGGGGGGGGACGGGGAGGACGATGGAAGGAAATGACTCTTCCCTTGGGGGTCAAAGGATCTACGATCACGAGCTCGCGTGTTCCAGTCACGTTCCGCGCCCAGAGGAAAACGAGAAATGACTCTGTAGACCTGCAGAGATATCATGAGAATCGTGACTTCTCGGCTTCATTGTCCCTCGTCGAGCATAAACAGTTCAAATGGACATCTCCCTTTGTTTTTCCCCCTCTCAATCCCTGGTTCCGCCCGCTAAAAGGAATCTCTGGTCGATCCACCTTTAGATAAGAACCACAGACTGCAATTAGAAGACGTGAGTGACCATAAAAATTCCTTTCCACCTATCGAGGTGCGTCACATATCCCCCCTCTGCGCGGCTCTTCTCTCTTTTCTACTCAACCCTAACCAAAGAGAAAAGAAATGAGATAGGGGAACACAAGTTTTTTTCCTTTTCTCTCTCTCTCTTTCCCCCGCTGAGCTCTTCGGGGAGGGGGTAGGCAAACATTTACCCTGCACTCGGCCTTCAAGAAATGAGTAAACGTGCCTGATTCCAGACATTTTTCGTTGCCCCCTCCGGGACCGTGGAGCAACCGTGCGAGAGAAGCGGATTATAGGCCTAGGCCTATCCGCTTTTCTTTCCCTCTTCGCTTCCCAGTCCTCCCCCCCCTCCCCCCTCTATCATATCTTCTACATCTCCCGAAGGAGATAAAGAGTATTACACAGCTGGTATGCTATTATTGGAGGCAGGCCCGCCCAGAGGTTTCCAGAAGCCCGAGGCAAAACTAAACAGGAGGCCCCTTGGAGGCCCCCTTGGGCCCCTCGATAGGCGAGGCCCGGGGCAAAATGTCCCCGACGCCCCCCCCTCTTTCCTCCCCTCTGGGCGGGCCTGATTGGAGGGGTAGGGATAGGGATGAACGATATGGGGAGTGGGTTGTCGCGCAGGCGCATACACTTTCGGGGACCCCGAGAGTGTATGCGCCTGCGCGAAGTCCCTACGCTTTCATTGGACGCAGGGGAATGTGACGTCTCGTGCGTGCTCGAGCTCGGCCTCATCACCGTCTCTGGTCCCGGTTCCACTCTGTCTACGGAGTTCCTTCCTCTTGCAGTTCAGTGATATGCTGCTCCTTCATCTTCCATTCATCCCCGATTCCATCGCTGCCCATGTGACTCTTGGCAGCTTCCTTGCCAAACTGGTGAGTTCGCTTTCACTCGCTTTGGGAGGTGGAGGGGGAAAAAAGAGAGAGGAAAATATCTCGAAATGCCTGTCGGATGCATAGGCGTAGGCTTGCTCCTCCTTCATAGCCCCAAGGCATGCCGTTTCTAGTCTTGCATCCGGCGGAAAATATGTCTAATACGGAATTTATTCACTTAAGCCCCACTGAAGCTGCATGTGCCCCGAGTAACGAGAATCATCTGCACATTTGCCAACGGTCATGCAGAAATTCAGGAATCCTTCCTTTCTTTTCTAGCGCATCTCGGATCGGGACTCTAGTTAGCATTGACTGGGGCAAAGCTCTGCATTTTTTTATTTATTCCGGCCTGGCCTAAAAAGGGGCCGATGGCCTGGGAAGACCCAGCCCAGGTCCGTACCGGCACCGGTTCGGTCCATTAAGGAAAGGAAGAAAAGAATGGGAAGTGAATGATGTCCTCATTGCTGTAATATCCCCGGTTTCTTTTCTCGTTCTCGGAGGCATTGTTGACGGTGAATAGTGCCTGTTGGCCCCCCTCTGTGCGCGATGATACGGCCCTTCCTTCTTCTTTCTCTGCCCCTGGGCTGGAGGCCATTTTTTGTTTGCCTCTCTCGGAGCCCCCTCAAGCCCATAGTTCACCCGGAGAGAGACTCTTTCTCTGATGAAGAAGGGAGAGGTTTTCGATTACACACTCCCTCTCCCTTCACTTGACCTTTCCCCTGTGCCCCTTGGCAATCCGCACGTGGACGACCATCATTTTCATTGGCGAGTAAAAGGTAGCCTATAGCGAGCCCGTAGAGATCCCAAGGCATGCCGGTCATCCCGTCGTTCAAGTCTCTCCCTCTCTCCTTCCACTCATAGGACAGGTTCTTATTTTTTTATTGCTACATTCACCGGAATACTAATCGAATCGGGAGGGCAGGTGGGTCAGGGTTGTTTACTGGCTCATGATATAGACCTATGCCTATCCGCCCTGTTCGCTTCTTTCCCTGGCATTTATGGGAGAATCGCCCATTGTTTGTGTGGACCAAGTGTGTCAATCAAGGAGCTTTGATGTTTATCTTTTGGGAGGGGGGAGAGCAAATTGTCCTGTCACCCATCTAGTTCACTTCTCCGCAGGTGTCAATCCGTGAATCTGCTCCCTCTTCTCTTCGTTTTCTCCCATTCTTTCTACCATCCCCGCATTTCCTTTCTTCGAGTCCTCTTTCACAAAACTCGTCTCAGTTGATCACCAGTAATGAGAACAATAATTCTACATCGTCAATCTCCAATTTGGAGATGTTTTGCCCCCGGAAGGATTTACAGGTGCGAGAAACCTAAGGCTAATAGGCCTCTATGATGTATAAGTGTGTCTCCTTTGTATTCTCATGATCTCATAATGGTCAAGTCCATGAGTTAAATGCTGTTCCTCTTTGAACTGCTTGAGTTATCAGGCTGACAGGTCCAATCTATGTCAATTCGCCTCGTCTCCTATGAGTTGAGAATACAGACAATGTCATAATCCCCTGCAAAAATGAAATTGAAGCCAGAAGGGCCAAATGATAATTCTCATCTCAGTCCCTCCGGAATTTCACAGAAGGTTTATATTGTTTCGCATGGACAGCGTGAGGAAGTAGGATGTTTTTCAAGGCTCATATTCCTCTTGCCAGGTGTGTTTGGGACCATGTTAGCGGGTGTTTGGAGGTGGAACGTGAGAATCCTTTTCCTCTGTCTCTTCCTGTTCCTCCTCATCTCGGGCATGGAATCCACGGGCATTCAAGTGACAAGGGAGATGTTCGAGAAGCTGGAATCCCAGTTCCTCACAGCACTCGGCATGAAAGAACGTCCTCGACCAAAATCCCCGAGCCCTATCCCTAGTTACGTCCTCGACTTGTATGCTCGACAAGAGGGTCAATCCATCGACACCACGGATTTCTTTTTGCCCAAGAAACACACACAGATGGCCAACACAATGAGGTCCTTCTTTCACATTCGTGAGTTACTCATCTTTCTTTCATTCAACCACATTCCAGTGTTGTCCGGAGGACTTCAAATCTCTAGCATTGCAACATTTTTCAGCGTAAAAGTCATTCATTACTGTTACCGCTCGTGATGAGTTGCTTTTATGTGGATTCAGGCCATGGGAGCCTGATTCGGTTTTACTGGTTTTCAAGGTCATGAAAGTGAATAGAGTTGCATATACTGTAGAATGCACCCAATGATTGTGGTAACTGTACTATTCTTTACCCAATTCATCGCAGAAGCACTGTCTGGAATCTGTTCTTCGAGTCCAAAATCTGACTAGAAAGAGAGATTGGATGCTTGCAAACATGAAGCCATCATGATTTGAGCTTGGAAATTCTTTTTTGACAGAGTCTGAGAGGGACGGGCAATACCCATCGAACCAGATGAGGCTATACTTCGACGTGAGGAGCATCCCAGCGGAAGAGGTGTTGAGAGCGGCTGAAATTCGTCTCAAACTCCTCGATGCGAGTGAATGTGATAGAGACGGAGCCAGAGACGTACGACGGTTGGACGTGTACAACGTGATCAGGGCGGCGAATCCGAGTGATGCAGGCGCCGTCTTGCACCTGCTCGATACGAGACAAGTCGACGTGTGTGGTGGTGGTGATGGTCAGTGGGTGGAAGTGGACGTCACTCCGGCCGTGTTGAAGTGGACCCTGGAACCCGAGGCGAATCGCGGCCTCTTCCTCCACCTCCGGACTCCCAAGGGTAAAGCAAGAGCAACCCTTGCAACGGAAACGGCCGAGCAGCCGTTGTTGCTTGCCTTCACGGACGACAAAAGACACCGCGAGAGCGGTGAAGAAAGGAAACGACGCTTAAAACGCGGCACTCTTCGACGCCGGAAAAATCGGCGAAAAGGGGAGAAGAACCCACAGTGTCAGCGACAGTACATGTACGTGGACTTCAGTGAAGTGGGCTGGAACGATTGGATCATCGCACCCCCGGGCTACAATGCCTACTACTGCGCCGGAGAGTGCAAGTATCCGATGCCGGATTACCTGAACAGCACGAATCATGCCATCGTTCAGGCGTTGGTTAATTCCGCCAATCCCAGGGCTGTTCCTCCCCCCTGTTGCGTTCCGACATCGCTGGAAACGGCAGGGATGCTCTACCTGGACCAATACGACAAAGTCGTCCTGAAAAACTATCAAGACATGATCGTGACAGGGTGCGGTTGCCGGTAATCGGACCGTTTTCCTTCGTTTGCCAAAGATTCTTATCTCCTATACCTAGATATGTGCTACGATGATGATGATGGTGATTTGAAGGGCTTGGGGCGAAACCAGTAGTGCTCTGCTACAAACCTTTCCCGTCGAATAAGAATGTTTGAAACCGGGGAAGGTGGAATTCGTCTTTTGCCTTCTTGGATCATTTTCAATCAGACTGATACGGCCTATGGCCATAACTGAATTTCGATATATATGTATAAAAAAAAATATTGCTTTGCAGTTAGCACTATATTGCCCGGAGCTCTTCAAATTCTTTTTTTTTTTTTTTGCCTCCAAGACATAGCTTTGTTTCTCATCGTTGTATCTTCTTTTATAAAGGACGTGCTTATTATTTGTTGCCTTGAGACCGGTTATTTCTTTCCATACTTCATGGACATTTCTCAAACAAAGGGACATACTGTAATATGGTGTTAATCTTCCAAAATATTAAAGGCGACTCTCTCTCTCTCTCCTGTGTTCCAATGCACAATCAAAACCGTACACGATATAAGTTGTTGCTTTTCAGTTGCTCTCTGCTCTCCAACTTGTTTTTCAATGTGTTACCACGTGCCAGCAGAACTGGCACCCGCGCGCCGGTTCGACGGTTCGCCATCACTGTACAAGGCTATGACTAGCAAGGATACTTCAACCCTCTGACGGATACCTGTAGGAACGGAGAGTGGTAGAATTCGGGGCTCACGGACAGAGGAGGACAAAGAGGATCACTTGGGCTCATTTTTTAAAATTTTAATCCCGGCAGCGAAACCTCCAGAGGGGGGTCGGAAGACTTAGAGGGGTGGAGTAGAGGATCGAGGGTGATTCGTCTGTCCTGGTGCGGGGAGGCGAAGGGGGTGAAGGGGATGAATGAGGTAAAGGGGGAGAAGGGAACGCATTCTCAACCGACGCTCGGCACCTCGAGCGTCTCTGTCACCCGACGATCCGATTCGCAAGAGAGTACCGCGAGGACACGGCGTCGTGCGACTACGATGGCATCCAGAATCGTACGTCGACTTCGATATCGTCTTGCAGTTTCGAAATACGGCGCGGATCGCCGGGAGGAATCCCTCGTTCCTTCCTCTGGACTTCCGGCTCTCTCGACGCGATGGGAACGGCACGGGACGAGGTCTTGCTTCTCCCGAACGAGACTCACGAGAACGGATGTGGCACGGGAGAGAACGCATCTGGATGTGACACGACGATGGAGACGACGGGTTCGCGTAACCTTTTCCTCTCCTCTCCGTGGGGTTGCGGGGACTGCGGTGGTCATCTTTCACTCTCGGGTAGAACGTCCCTTTCCCTCGGTCGCTACGGAGGCGTGGGAGGGGGGGAGGGAAGGGGGCAGGCTCCAGGAAACTGAAGAGTTCTCCTTCCGAGTCGAGATGCGACATGAGACATCCGACAGAAAAGAGACCGGCGAGAAGTATCGGTCGTTCGAAAACGCGTCTGGTTTCTCCCATCGACGATATTTACGAGACGCTCGATGCCACTCGCGGTCGTGCCCGACTCGGGAAGAAAAACCGGTCGGGAAGGAATTTCCTCGATTCGGTCTCGACGATTCCACCTCCGCCCGAGCGTCGTGCTTGCTCGAACTCGAGTTCGCGATGACCGAGGATGCGAGAATCTCACGGCGATGGAACTCGGTGCCGAGGAGGTGGATCACGTCGGCGGCGAGAATGGAAAGTAAAACGAGTGATCCGCTGCGGTCGAAGACGAAACGACCGCACGTCGGCCCGTTCGCGTATGCCCGAATTTCGGATACCCGGTACGTTTCGGAAAGCGCGACGCCCTTCGGGCCCGGATCGGCCTGATCCTCGTGCGTCCCCCGACCGCGACAAAAACGGACGAACGGAACGGCTCCGTTCCGTTCCTCACGTCGTCTCGTCTCTCGACAGGCACGGGGCATCGACGACGGCGAAAACGTCCTCGCGACGATCCACCCCCGTCGACGTGCTCTGAACCCGGAATGAGCCTAAAGAAGGGATCACATCATTGTTTTTCGAGATCCCCTTATTAACACCGGTAAACACGGCTAATTGGTGCATAAAAACGAGATCTGTGATGGAAGGAACCGGTTTTTGACCTCCCGCAACTCAAATGTACGACCTTAGGAAAGGAATCTCTCGTCTTTTTTTCCTTTCTCTCTTCCCATTTCATTCATGCCACCACGTAGGGACTGCGATGTTAAAAAAAAAAGAAGTCGGTCCGAGCCCAGAAGGTATCACTCTCAAAGGTGAATAAAGAGCCCAATCATCATACACGGGTATGACGATCCGGTCGCCTTTTCCGTTTCTCTGGCGAAAAACCCGAGTCTTGAGAAGTTTCACGCGATGAGAAACGGCTTCCGATAGAGCACTGGGACCGACTGGGACACACTTTCACGGATGCAAACGCGCAGAACCCTGATGCGAACTGCGAGTCTCGGTCGGGATGTATTGGAAGGTGCACGCACGCAGGCAGACGAGCACCTTCCAACGTTTATTTCGGATTTGTACGAAGGAAAACGCCTCCTGCGTCTTTTCGCAATGCGTTCTGTAGTGAACTTGCCACGACCGTACGAGTGCTTGGAATTTCGAACGTGCGAAGGCGTTTTCGCGCTGCAAAATACGATGCACGCCATCACGACCGGCCGTCGAGAAAGCATCGATGACGGAAAGTGGACGGACCTTCGCAACGTAGTTGCGCGAAACGAGACGGGAGTCGGTACGCGCTCGAGCGGAGACGGGACGTCCCTTGCCATCGAGGCGATTCTCCCCACGACCAAAAGTTTGGACGGAAAAGCAGAAAAGGGGGGAAAGGAAAACGAGTGAACCTCGTCGTGCGGGCCCGCACGTCTTGCAAGAGGAAAAATCTCATTCGTGATTCCCTCGGAAACCCCACTCCTCCGAACTTTGTTCCCGACGACATCGCGTGCTCGCGATCTTCGCGTTTCGCATTCGCCTTTTCCATCCGAGACGTCCTCGTCGGGAATGCGAACCGAAACGAAATCGGCCTCGGCGCGGATGGGAGAGAGTCGGGGTCGGACGGTTCGTGGAACGGGGAGCCGACGAGGTCTCCGCATACTTCCGATGCCTTCGCTTGGGAAACGGACTCAGAAACAAAGGAGCCAGAAAATGAGCCCCATTCATTGCAAAGAGGGAGGCAGAGACAGAGACATCTTTTACCTCTCGGAAGTGGGCAATTTACGCACCAGCCCCCTTTCTTATCTCTTTCCTTTCCCAGAAATGCCGCTCGGTGTTCCAGACGAGATTCCTTTGCGGGTGAGACCAAAGGGACTCCTTTCTCCGCTCATCCTTTTGAGGAAATCCCATGGAATTCAAATCGCGGCCCGTCGATAGTACCGGCGTGACAGAAGAGGCGAACAAAGACTCTCTTTGTGATGCAATTCCCTTTTGGCATGGAACTGCGAATAGCCTCGTTTCGAGAAGTACGTGCAGCTTCTCTCTCTCGTTTCATTCCTTCTCTGCATGGATAAAGCATCGCTTAGCTTTCCTCTCGCATTCTAGAGGGCGACTCCTCCCGAATAAATTTCGCGTCGCATCACGCGGAATGAATTGCGATGCACGGATGTGTAAGGTAGAAATGTCCATGAAGTATGGAAAGAAATAACCGGTCTCAAGGCAACAAATAATAAGCACGTCCTTTATAAAAGAAGATACAACGATGAGAAACAAAGCTATGTCTTGGAGGCAAAAAAAAAAAAAACAAGACTATGCTCAACGCCTAAATTCCACGTTTTAGGGAGTCGATTCGTCAGATCGTCCATCGGTGTTGGGTTAGAATCTATTAGTATTTTGGCACTCAAGCTTTACTTCTATTCGGTTTTCTCGCAATCACAGAAGAGTACTTTTAATATGCCAAAACAACTTGAGCAGGAAGCTCCTCTTCTTCGCAGCACATACTTCCGGGATTCACTGCCCTCTGCCGATATTCAAGCGTGTGTCCATGGGTTAAAATCAAGGAATCGTACCTCTTGCTCTGTCGCTAAGGCGTTTAAGAAAGAAGATATCGCGTCTCCCTACACTACCTCCTCGCTCCCCTCCTTACCGCTCTTAGAACTCGTTTCCACGATGTCTCTCTACCTGCTACCCGGTTTAATCCCAGCTAGGATTTCCAACCGGGTCGCAGCTGGAAATTCGAGCCCATTCCGGCCGAGGAAATCCGGGAACGCGAAGCTAGATCCAGGCTGGTTTCCGGATGGAATTTCCCAGCCGGAATGAATGATGGTTTCGTTATCCGTTTCCTGCTGGAATCCAGCCATGGAAGAAAATAGAACACGGATGTAAGTGTTCTGGTATTCCAGGTGGTCGTCCTCATCCTCAATCGGTTTCCGAGTTTCGAGACGACTCTGCCGACTCCTTCACTCCACCTTGCGGTTCCCATTAATACTTTACAAGAAGTGGATGGACCGGGTACGCTTCAAGCAGGTCCGAAAGAAACGGTTCATCGCTTCGACTCGTCTCACTTTTTACGAATCGGAGCAAAAGTCCTAAATGGACAAATAACCTCTGTGCAAACGACGTGCAGAAACTAAAGCATGCAAATGATTCAATGGAAGTGATGGTTGGGCATCCCCTCGAATCTAGCAGATCTCTCGAGGGATACCAGCCGTTTCCTAGCTGCGAGTACATGGCTCTGGTTTTCCAGCCGATTCTGAGAGTACGAATGACATCTGCGGTCACAACTATGTACCATCCCGAAACTCCGAAACCGGTACAGAAATGCCTGGACGTCCCAACCACACTGCCTGGCAATTCCGAATTTTATTCCGTGATATGCGAAACCAAAAGGGATCGGCATCGATGCCCCAACACAGTGGTCGGCAATAGGCGGCCCGCGGAAGTCCTCCCTCTGGGTAATTATCGCACGTTACTGTCAGACGGTAGACGTTCGGCTGCACGTTTCACGTTAGACGTTCGTTAAAATTTTAATTTTGATGACACTCGATAGTTGTTGGCCCGCGAACGTGCAGCATTTTAAAATCCGGCCCGCCGTGTAATTCAGTTGCAGACCGCTACCCTAACAGATTCGACCGAAAGAATGATGGAACAGGTTTTTCTCGTTGCTGATGTTCGGTCGCAAAGTATCGACGTGCAAGAAATTACTCGACGTCGACACTGGGCATAAAAGCAGTAAGTGAGCGGCGAAAATGATACGTCTGAGATCGGTGGATGAGTAGGACTCGAGACTCACCCTCGTCTGTTCCCAATGCTTTCAACGAGAATCTGTCGACGAGAAACCGATGAAAAAGACTCCTCGGAAGAAAAAAAAAAACTTCTCTTGAGAGAGGAGAAGAGG